ATGAAATGCAAACTGTCAACGTCTCTTTGTAGCATAAATTCTTTGAGGATTATATCCACCTATGATCATTGTCACTAACACCACCCAGTCAACAATCCAGGGTTATTATTTTCTAATTATCTAGTAAGATTCCACTTAATTAACCTGGTTATAACCTACCTCGTCGTAAATGGTGGGAAATAAGTCTTACCTGCAGTGGCGGCTCGTGCATAGGGCTGCAGTCCCCCCAGACACTCACTGCCAGGCGTATGATTCCTTTAGAGAGACAGCTGAATAATACCCTACCAACAAATATATCATGTTATATGTTATTTAATTATTTTCAATACGTTACTAAGTGAATTTTCATTAAAATCAGACCAAAATTTAAGTTACTTTCATAGTTGCTGTCAATGCTGTACGATTCATGTCTGTTATTAATTGGCGCCGCCGCTGCACTTGAAGCAGCTCAGTCTCGTACAACGTGTGGACGGTGTGGTTAAATCGTGCTTTCTTTAATTACCCTTTGACCATGGAAAATCGAGTGAAGTATTTGCAAAACATCAACTTTTCCCAACTGACATTAAATGAAAAGACTGAAATCAAAGCAAGAGGAAGACCTACACCAGTTTTATCCATTCAACAGAACAGTATAAGCAGGAACAAAGAATATACACGCCAGTTTAACATCAGTGTTTATGGCTCTGTGGTTGTGACGAGGCAAATACTTTATTCTGCTTTCCATGCTTATTGTTTGGTGGGGACTCGGCATGGACGAAAAGTGGTGTGACTGACTTGAGGCATTTGCCACAGAAAATAGTGAAACATGAGCAGTCAGCCAAACATATGAATAACATGATTAATTTATCGTTGCCCTGGGAATTCGTGGACATCAACTACTACTCATACCTGAGGTAGGTCAAATTTGTGTATCCTACTGTTGTGTGAGGCTTGCAGTCCCTCCATTTTATTTTTCACGAGCCGCCACTGCTTATTACCTAAAATAAGGCTGTATGTAATTAAAATTACTGTCAGGATAAATGTCAAACAATTCAAAGGTAGAATTTTCATAATTATAAACTATTCATACTTATTTAAGATACTGAGAAGTTCCCAAAGTTCGTATGTTTGGTTAAATAATGTAGAAATTATATTAATGAATTGGCAGCTCAATTACAACGAGGAAAGAGGAATGCCACAAGATTCTCAGATCAAAATTTCTTCATTTTTTTTAGTAACTATAAGAACATTTGGAAACTTCTCATGATCTTAAATAACAATGAATAGTTTATTATTATAAAAATTATACCTTTGGATCGTTTAATATTTATCCTGACAGTAATGCAGCCGAAAATAGACCCACCAATCACAATCACCTTTACATACAGCCTTATTTTACCAAGTATTGCCAGGTAAAATTGTCAGTAAGAGACTCAGGGTGGGGTCGCTGGATCTTTGGCTGACTGTACTATCGTGGACAAAAGTTCGCTCCTTCCCAAACTGAAGCAGTATCGACCCGCACAGCACACCCGCACCAGATAACAATCAGGGTAAGTCAGTTCGGAGACTCATTCCCGTGTCTCAGTTTGACTACAGGGAGCGAACTTTTGTCCACGATAGTACCTTGTGTTTGGGTACCTGAGGTTATCCTTCAAGTCAAGTGTAATGGCGCGGCACAGTTACAGATGCATTGTGGAGCCAGTGCTTGCTGACAGTGCGTTAAAGTAAAAATGAAATAAACCAAACCTAGTTGCTTTTGTTGCTCTCGCAGTTGCTACTCCGTGTCACCTGTAAGTTGCTATATCCAGGATGAGTAATGTCATCTGAACTGTCATCTCAAAATTCTCAAGTTAATCATAGCTGCACTAGTTCCTTTTCCCTTTATAATCCCTTCTGATCTTCAGATAACTCACGGTCTAGTCGAAATTTGATTGTACTTAAAATTATGTTTCATAAAACTTTGCATGCATGACTTATTAAGCTAATTGTTGTAAACTGGATGCACTTGGTTTATGGGTAATAATACAAATATATATTTTTTTAACCCCATTATTGCCCATTTTTTAAATCAGCTGGGAGCTATTCAACCCTACGAGCTATATTATTTATTTTTATTTTGCTCACACCTGTCTCGACTTGTTTCCAGAATTTTTAGTTTGATCTTCATTTCCTTTTCGTTTCTTACCTTTACTCTTAGCCTTATCATTATATACAGTAGTTCTTCTACTTACTCTGCCTTTTCTCTCTTTTACTTCTGCCGGAAAAAAAGATCTTATTGTCATTTGCTTTTAAGTTCCACCTCAGTTTTCCCTTTTTACTGGTTCATTTGTTTAATTTTTATCTACATTTCCTTTACAATATAACTCATTTACTCCCACATACACTTTAAATTGTGGTTTTTTTTGTCGAGGCCACAGTCTTCATTTTCAAGCTTTGCCTGATTGAAAATAAAACTAGCTATTTCATTTCAACCACTCCTTTATTGCTAATTGTGTATTGTACAGTAATTACAATATTGAACATAAAATACTGCAAGTGCACCTATTAGTCCTATCACTGTCGTTACCCCCCGAAAAATGCCAAATTACTCCCACATACCACGTGCTGGCCAAGCTCCGAAAGAGTTGTCCAGGGGTCTAGATAACCTCTGGCCGGGGCTTGGCCAGCACGAAAAAAAAAAAAAAAACTTTAATTTGTAGGTAGTAGGCAGCTACCAAACAGGGAGGTACTACTGCCTGGGAAGATATTGGAAACATAATGTGTTGTCTAATGGTTGACCCTGCTGCCATATGTGACCAAGTCCCAGGTTGCTGAGCTGACTTTCTGCTTCATTTACACGCAATTGCAGGGTCTCAATTGTTTCTCTTACCATTGACAACACAACATACATATACCGTTTCTCACTTTTGATCTTTTTTTTTCATTTTTGTATTTATAGTTCTTTATTATTAATATTATTATTACTACAGTTACTGTATTATTATCATCATTATTTTATTATTTTATTTTTGTTTGTTTTATCAAATTTTATCTATTATGAATTATTATTATTATTATTATTATTATTATTATTATTATTATTATTATTATTATTATTATTATATTTTCGCCCCCCAGGCCCCGATGTGGGTCAGTGACCTGTGTCCGGGTGGGCTAATCCCCATAAAAAAAACATACACTTAACCCTAATTAGGAACCCCTGTACTACCGTATAGAATCCCTGGTTCGTGGTAGTCTTTTAACATAGCCCATTTTGACCACGAAAGCGCGTTATCCCTCCCGGACTCCCGAGGCGAGGACGTGGCAGATTTGAGTGCACCCAGTGTTTGCAGGTGTGACAATTTCGCCTCATTTGACGATTTAAAAAAATTGTAAAGACCGTCTCAGTAAAAGGTGGTATGTAGCTTAGTCAGCATATTTGGCCCAAAAATCGTGAAGTTCATCGTTTTCTGTCTCATTGCTTCCTTTTTCCTGTATGTAGGGAAAGGATGGCAAGTGTCCGTAGAGGCTATAGAGCTGAAAGCCGAGTGAATGCCTTAAGAATCTTTTTTGCTTTATCACATCTTCCTCTTGGATAACCATGTAAGGATTCTTTCTATTAACCAAATTTTCTGCACCTCTGCAAAATCTTCAAGTGTCTTACAAGCATATTTCTTTACGGTCTATCTTTAGAGATGTCAGTTCCGTTTTATACACGGATGGCGGGTTTCGTGCCTCTCTATAGGTATTCGGTAAAAGCTGACTCACATTTTTGTTTATGTAGGTTTCTGATGAGGTTTGCGTTTATTGAAACTCATTTATTTAAAGATGGAGTTAGCCTGATAAATAGATGGATATACTTGTAGGTAGAGAAAGATAGACAACATGATAATTAAAGGCAATTGTTAAGTCCTCAATATCAGTGTACGTTTAATGTAGATTCTAGTTGTGTTCTTTTTTACCAGTAATAAGTTGACTTCGTTTATACAATGGAGATGAATATTTCTCAAGGTTTTTGGTGATTGATGGACGAGTGTAATTAATAACCTATTTACGTGCTTTAAGGCCATAGTTGTTGAAGCTCAGTGATAACATTATAACGTCAATGTAAACCTTTTGTATATAATAAGACAATACTGCACCTTGTTATTCTTGTTCATTAATTCACCTGCCTCACCTGCAATCATTATTATTGTTATTATTATTATTATTATTATTATTATTATTACCACCACCACCATTGTTATTGTTATTAATACAGTACCTTATAACAAAGAAAGGAACATTTTCGAAAACTGATGAACATGAGTCCCTTTCCATATACTGTATATCTCTTCAAATTAGATTATCGAACAAAATACATATTCAGTACTCCGTTCGATTAGGTTGATCTGTTTGGAGATTAAGGTGCTTCAACTACCAACAGCAGGAGTCTTATGCGAAGTAACGAATGGAGTTGTTAATATACATAGATGACATACTTATTGCCATCAAAATTACATGGACTACCTCAACTACAATAGATACGGCCTCTTAGCACCAGTTGTAAGGAAATCTGAGGGTCATGTCAAAGGGTTCAGAGTTAGTATAATATCTCTTTGGGAACCCTCCTGTGTGTGTGTGTGAGGTCATTCAAATTTCCCTAGGCTTTTTGTAGGGAGGGGGTGGTGTGGGGAAATGTGTAAGGAGGGATTTTGGAAGGGAAAACGAAGGTAGAATTTGAGGGAGGAGGGAGAATGTTGGGAGGCAGGAGGAAGAGATGGGAATGTGAGGAGGAATGGGGGTTAATAATGTAAAGAGGGAGGCTGGTGAATTATTTGGAGGAGGAAACGTAACGGAAGGAAGGATTGTTAAAGGGGGGGAGGGAAGTCGTAATGTGAGGATGGACGGAGCGAGGAAATGTTAAAGGGAGGGAAGGGGGTGGTAATGTGAGGAGGGAGGTGGGGGTATGATGGGGGGGTAAAAGGGGGGTGGGGGGGTAGAGAGAGGTGGGGTGATCTTGAGGGTGGAGGGGGTAGAAGTTGGTATAAGAGAGGTGCGAGAGGTGGAGGTGGACAGAGAGCCGGGGTTTCTCGACAGTGTTTCTCCTCTGCTGCTATCATGTGGCTCCTCGTTTCTCTGACTGTCTTCCTGACCTCACACTCATGGGCTTCAGACGTCCATGTGGCTGATAAAGAGGCTCATGTGGCAGCTCGTGTGGCTGACTCCGGCTATAACTGTTCATGCGGTGAGGCTATGAGTTACTCGCGTATAGCAAGTGGAAGTGAGACCTCACTACACCAGTACCCGTGGGTGGTGGACCTGGTGGATTATGGGTCGATCATTCCCTTCTGTTCCGGTGTTCTCGTGACCGACCGGAGTGTCCTAACAGCGGCTCACTGTATTTCTAATAAGACAAACAGTGACTACCTAATAAAGCTCGGTGAGCATGACATTACAAAAGTATCCCGGGTGTACACTCGCCATCCAGATGAGTCCGTTTTACATCCTGACTACGAGGATTCACCCAGAACTAACGACATTGCCATCATTAGATTTGACAATCCCTTTAATTTCAACGGTCCACCTCTTCTTAGACCCATCTGCCTTCCTGGTTTGTTGGATAACTTTAACGGTAAAGAAGCGACTGTGGTTGGATGGGGCAGAACGTCTCAGGATAGTTTGTCTTCAGTACTACTGGAACTGAACCTTACTATCCACAGCGAGGAAGACTGCTTCGATAACTTGCTGTGTGCTGGTGAGTCGGGAGAAGGTATATGCCCGGGAGACTACGGCGGGCCACTAATGGTAGATGTGAACGGTCGAAAAATTATTGTGGGCATCGCTTCCACGGGTGACGCGTGTAGCGCTAATGGTTCACCGGGGAATTTTACCGAAGTATCCCATCACATTAGCTGGATCTCATCACAAATTGAAAATGATATATCGTGTGCTGACACCAACACGACCTTTACTGCAGGTTACAACGACGCTACTGAAGCTCCTACACCTATGACTCCTACAACACCGGCTACAGGCCTGGGGCCTTTGGCGTGTGCTTGCGGAAAGGTACACAATTCTACACCTGCTGCAGATTTGGATTTGATTGAGAACAATCCCTGGACGGTGGCCCTTCTATATAGGGACACCCTGGAACTTTTGTGTAGTGCCACTATCATCACCGACAGGTATGTGATTACTGCTAGACGTTGTCTCAAGGGGCTTACCAGACGTAAGATAATGGTAAGAGCAAATGCTCAAAGCCTTTCCAGCACAGATGGTGTTCAGCGTAAAATCACCAAGATCTTAAGGACAGGTGATGTGGCGCTACTGCAGATGAAAGGAAGAATCAATCTAGTGAACTATAACGGGATAAACCCCGCTTGCTTGTCCATGGGCAACCTCAGTTTTATAGGCGTAGCCCATCACTCCGGATATGGAAACCTTCCTCCTTCCATCGTTTCAGGTCAGGTCAAACAGGTGGACGGCAATTTGACAGATTGTGACGACACCACGTACTTGTGCTTCCAGCCACTACAGGATCCAGGATTCTGTGGAAAGGACATGGGTGGTCCTATCGTCATCGAGATGGAAGGTCGAATGGTCTTAGCTGGAATTGCTTTGAACGACTTAGAATGCACTGCTTCTAATGATATGACTTACCAAGAAGTGGTCAAATTGTCTCCTCTCTTCCCCTGGATCTGGGACAACACGCAGGATTCAAGTTATTGCGGCGAGTAAACTGACCACCACGAAGAACCTTGAGCAGAAGTTCTCCCCGTGTGAAGGTGATGAGACCACTGCCCAAGGCCACCCTCTGCTGGAGCTTCACTCTTCACCACGTTCGCTTTTCATGTTAAATCGCTAATTAGGTTTGCCTGTATTTATGGATTTATTTGGACTTATTTAATGATCTACTAATTTTTTCTTCACAAAATGTATTTATTATTATGGACAATTACTAACGAGGTTAAGCGAACCTGGTATTAGTATGTTTTAATTCTCTGAAGCATTATTTGTGCTCATGTAAAAGATCATGAATTATTGACATATACTATATCAATACAAACTTTATATATACATAAGTGTATGTGTGTGTGTGTGTGTTTTATACAATATTTTTTTCTCAATAAACGTGTATGGGCCACCGTTCATTGTCTTATTTCTTACAAACACCAACCAGGATTCTTAATGATAACCATGATGGAATTTCCCCAACTACAAGTATAACACATATTCAACACAGCGGTCCACTACCACCACCACTACACCACAGAGCTGGAAACCAAGAAAGCATCACAACCACACACATACACTAGTAACATAATCTTATCCTCAATTACAGAAGAAAATTTTACATTACAGTTTGAGAAATCGGATCAAGGGAACGATTAACTGAATAAGATTACTGAAGTCAGATTTCTCATCAGCCCCCCCCCCCCATCAGGTGAGCTAATGTGGAACAGGGAGGGTCTAATCATCACGGGGTCAAAGAAAGAATCACTACGCTACAAGGATCCCGTCCCGGTCTATGTTACAATAAGTACCATACAGTTACAAAAATGCAGGATATATACACAAAAACACTAATGCTGAACACAGAAATATGGAACAGCTAATGTGTGGAATGGGTGAATATGGTACAGCTATGTGTGGCGCGGGTGAATACGGTACAGCTAAGTGTGGAATGGGTAAATATGGTACAGCTAAGTGTGGAATGGGTAATTATGGTACAGCTAAGTGTGGAATGGGTAAATATGGCACAGTTAAGTGTGGAATGGGTAAATATGGTACAGCTAAGTGTGGAATGGGTAAATATGGTACAGCTAAGTGTGGAATGGGTAAATATGGTACAGCTAAGTGTGGAATGGGTAAATATGGCACAGTTAAGTGTGGAATGGGTGAATATGGCACAGCTAAGTGTGGAATGGGTAAATATGGTACAGCTAAGTGTGGAATGGGTAATTATGGTACAGCTAAGTGTGGAATGTGTAAATATGGCACAGTTAAGTGTGGAATGGGTAAATATGGTACAGCTAAGTGTGGAATGGGTAAATATGGTACAGCTAAGTGTGGAATGGGTAAATATGGTACAGCTAAGTGTGGAATGGGTAAATATGGTACAGCTAAGTGTGGAATGGGTAAATATGGTACAGCTAAGTGTGGAATGGGTAAATATGGTACAGCTAAGTGTGGAATGGGTAAATATGGTACAGCTAAGTGTGGAATGGGTAAATATGGTACAGCTAAGTGTGGAATGGGTAAATATGGTACAGCTAAGTGTGGAATGGGTAAATATGGCACAGTTAAGTGTGGGAGGGGGGAATGTGGAACAGCTACTGTAAATGTAGAACGGAAATGTAATCAGACTTAATTCAGCCGTAATTGCCTCTCCACACCTGGTCTGAGTAGTGTCGCAGCTAATAACTGTAAGTTACACATGTTTATCGTAATATTAAAATACCTGATGAAAAGGGACATTAACTTCAATTTGAGGAAAAGGCTTCTGAACGGCTTTATGTGGCACGGACAATTTCAGCAGACATCAGAGAGGTTGGAGGCCTTTGAAATGTGGTGTTATGGGCAAATGATAAGAATAAGCTACACTGACAGGAAACCAAATGAAGAAGTGTCAAGATTAGCAAAAACTTCAAGAGAAATACTTGAAATGTACAGAAAAAGATAAATGAGATTCTTTGGTCACACAATTAGGAACGAGAGAATAATAAGAGAAATATTAATGGGCAAAGTTGAGGGTAGGGGGGTCAGGGAAGCCAGATACTGGAACTCAGATACAGAACCTTAGAGTATGGTAAGAACGTTTCGAGTGGAGGAGGACTGTGGTCGCCAACCCCCAGATATGAGAACGGTACCTGTACTGTAATTAATTTGTACAAATTGCAAATATGATTGAAGTATTTCATTTCTACCTTTTCGCAAGCAGCATTGTTTGAAGTTGCATCTTTTTAAGTTTTTTGTGTGTGGGGAGAGGACAATTTAATAATGATCCTGCATATGCACGAGAAAAAAAATACCGTACGACAACGTGCGTAAGTATGCTGGCAGCGTCTGTGTGCTGGGTAGTCAGGCTGGCTGGCTGAGGGAAAGACGCCTTCACCACTGTCACAAACAAGATCTCCAGTCGGGCATCAGCCGTGGCGTAGAACGGACGTACGGCTGGTTCTCCTGAGTTTTGATGTGGGCATGACTAGCGTGACATCGGTTCGAACTGTCAGGTTAATGTTCGTCAGCATTTAATTAACGTAGGTGACGTCCAGTGCACTTCCATTTCCTCCGCGAAAGGTTGTCAAGGGACAAATGTTCATAATTTGGCCAGCTGTGCCCTTTCTTGATAAGGTAAGTAAATTGCAATAAAACATTTAATTTTAGTAACGTAAGCTCAATCAATATGTATAAACTTTTTAGAATATAAACATTGGCCGAAGGTTACCAAGATAGCAGTGTTATGTACGCGGGAAATGAAAATATTGGATCCAGTCCAATCCACATTAATATTTTGGCGCTGAATGAATGGCGGCACTTAAGTGTTGACACATCAAGACGACGACAGGTTGACAGCTCGCTAACCAGATAGACTTGCCACTTGTTTTATCCAACCTGTGGGTGTTTGGCGGGGAACTGCCCGTTTCTTGTGGCTGTCTTCAAGATTTCGCGTATCTGCAAGTTAATGTCGGACATTCGCACAGTTTAAATGCTTTTTATTATTATTGGCGAATTCAGTTCAGTAACAGGAAATGTGGTTTGTTTATATGGGGACTCCTGGGGTAAGATCACTGCCTGCTCATCATCTAGGTAAGGAGAACCGAGCATATGAAGGTTTCACTGTCTTCCGTTCACTTCTAAATGTTACAGTCGCGAGTGGAGAATTCTTGGTGCAGTAATTATTATTCGTAAGTTATTTTTTAAGTTAACCAGTGATTGTTTACATTTGTCGAAAGCCTAAATATTGGCAACAGCAGACTGAGACCCACGAAAGTGATGGTAAACGTAAGGGTGAAGCAACAGATGGAGGGAAAATTTTATAGTTGAAAGTGAAATTGTTCAGAATATCTCGGTGACGCTAGTTTCTTACTGTACAGCTGATCTTAGGCTTCGAGTTTAATGGGTGTTAGTAGAGCATCTTGCCTGTTGTTGTATCCGTCTGTGTCCACCACCATTCATGGCCTGACACTTGTAATAACTATCCAAGATTTACCACCTGCAATGACATCGAGTTGCAGTAGTCAATTAACCGGGCTACGTCAGAGTTGTCTATTGTGTGTTAGTAAAACCCTTTCTCTAGTACTGTACTTTTACTGATTCCCTGTGACTAGGATAAAGGTGTGAAGAATTGTTGCTACACAATACTCTTTCCCAACAGTTTGACAATGTAGTTTCAATGAGATTATTTCTAACAAGATTTTAGTTCATGGTAGGTTAAGTTCAGTATTGTATTAGATTTCATAAAAATAATACATATTCAGCTTTTATCTGATGTTTTTCAAGTTCTAAATAACACCATTTTGTAGTCTGATACCGCATATTGTCTGTAGGCGTGAAGTCTCATTATATATTTTATGATTGCGATGTATGATCACAATATCGGTGATAAATGTAAGAAGCAGGAAGTGAGTACAGTACAGTATTGTCAATGCGACTTCCTGAGACGTAAACACCACCACTTCTTGGGTTCGGGTAATTCAGTTTTATTTTTGTGTTTTGTTTTGTTTAATTAATTATTCTAGCAGGATTATATTAGTTTTAGTTATTTGGTATTTAATAATGATAGTGATAGATATTATGCTCCACTTATACAGTTATTTATTTATTTTAAAGCGTATATGAAATGTAGAAGTATCCGATAATGGCGTGGCAAGGTACTTAGACTTTATGGTATTTGCAACAATTATTTTCTTTCGGTTGGATATCTTGAATTTCATCTATATGATACAAGAAGCAGAGGATTTAAACCAACCCTTGGAGTTTCTCCGACTTCAACTTGCAGCTCTGTAAATGTTGCTGGTGTTGTTTATATAGTGCTTCAATTGCCAGGATTGTGCACACAAGTTTATCTCGACAGTTTCTGCAGCAGTCAACTTTGAAAGTAGAGAAATCAGATGGTGATGTTATTAATAATAACGGGATAGTAGCAGCTAGAAATGCTTGTGAAACACACATGCCCCCTAATGGTCTCGGATGAAACGGTGCACTCGTACTACAGTAAAAGAAACAACATTTACCAAGGAAGTTTACCTAGAGGACGTTTGTTTGAGTTAAATTTGGTGAACTTTCCTCAAAACAAGTGATGGAATTGCACAAGGAATATGCAAATTAAGTAAAAAATTTGTTAATGCGGGGTAGTCGTACGCCCGGCAGCAAATATGCAATTATGCAACAATTTGGAACAAAAAAAATATATGATTGGTTAATCAGTCACTAAAGTCGCGCTTTAGGTTGACTAACGCATCTTAAAATAATTAGCCTCTCAACTTTCATCTCTGGGGCTTAAATATACCTGTATGAACAATACTAAATTTACTACTGGATAACATCCATATATTGCTTGCATACGCACAAACACAAAATAGTAATTACAATATGAGGAATCTTTATATATATATATATATATATATATATATATATATATATATATATATATATATATAGTCTAATGTATAATGTACTCCCGAAATTCCAGTTTGTGATTTTTCTTTTAACAAATACTGTACAGTGGTGGGAGCATTAAGACGGGTGTCGCTGTCATAGCGATTTACCGAAGCGTCACTTGGCAGAGAATTACGGTAATGTCTGGCCTTTGGTCTTGCAACTTGTTTAGTTCTCAAAGTTTCTTGTTGATATGAGTTGAGTATGATGTGGTATGTGCTGGAAGTAGATCTGTTTGTGGTAGTGGGGAATAATACTGGCGGTGAGGACTGGCTTACTTGGCTACGCGAACAGAATCGACTTGTTATCACATTTTGTTGTGCAAATATCGGTCGAGTATCTTAATTCTGTTTGAGTACATTGTGTAGTGTGTCAGCAAATTTCGAGAAGTGAGATAGAATGTTCAGTGTTCATTAGATCTTACAAGAAGGATCATTCTTATTTCTTTGTCCTCGTGCACACTGTTGGAGGTACAGTCTCGTTCAAGATTCTTCGAACACTGCTGGGGACACCTGGCAGCTCAAGGCCGTTTGTCTACTATAATACGTCGTAAAAATTATGAATGAATGTAAAAGGTTATCGGTGATTGGTTACTTAGTTCCCTGTTGCTTAATTACTTGTTGGGCTTTGTTTCGTATTATATTATACTACGTACTATAGTAAACAAACAGCCTTGAGTTGCCAGCTGTCTCCAGCAGTGTTCGAAGAATCTTGAACGAGACTGTACTGTATTATTAACACGTGTATGTTCTTGTGTAGGTGTGTGTGTGTGGACATGTTTGTTGATATGAATTCGGATGTGTGTGTGTACACGTTTGGGTACGCGTTTTTGTTTGTTGACATATAATTGCCTTCGTTAATGTGGGTGTTTATGTAGTGTGGTGTTATGGTCAGCTTGTGTGTCTTAAAATGGCGTTTTTCTTGTTTGTAGTGTGAATAGGTGTGTATTAGATATGTCCAGATGTTTATTAGTTTTAAGATAATGGAAATTTGTTTATGTGGTACATGTTGTGTGCGTTCCATTAAGTATCCCAACAAAACGAAGATTCTTTCGCTGGACTTCCAGAGTCACATGAAATGCATGTTCATCAGGTGACGAACATAAACCTTTAGGTAATGTAGTATAGGCTAGTATATTTAAATCTACTCACAGTAATACAAAGTACAGCCGTAGACCATCTGCCATCCGGACCCTCCAGACTCATTTTAACGTGCACAATATTCCAGTGATCCCACATTAGCACTTCATCACAATGGTTCAAGTCTCGGGCGTTCATCAACATGTTATCACCCTTCGTCACGACTCCAGCAGTTCATATTTATCCATACACTCTTCGATATAGCAAAGATCGGCTCATTATTTTTAACTCGAATATAAATTAGGGTTTTTGAGTTCGCAGCCTAGTAGCCTCGCATAACGCTCAAGTGGTAAGTTAGCTCAGAGAAGTCCTTTTGTATTATGGCTATGGGAAGATTAGATTTGTGTTCATAGTTTGTTTGTTATCATAGATGGCCATTAATTGCAAGATTCCTTATGTCAGTCGGCTTTTATTTTAGATGTTTCTCTGTTGGCAATAATAAAAGTGTTAAAATGCTATTCCGTACACTTTTGTTTACCTGTTTGCATAATGTAAGAAGATACTGTTCATTAATTTATAACTATACCTTTGATCATAATGGCTTACGGATAAAAGAAAAGTTGTCCATACG